CTCAAAAATGTGAGTAATCGTCTACTAAATATGGAAGATAAACAGTTTAAAAATTTAAAGGAAATTAGTTAAAGATACATTTATCTATAGGAAATTGGATAAAAATATAAAATATAGACAGACATACTGTCAGTTAGTATCACATTTTAAATATGTTTGCTTGTATTAAATGTTTGACTTTTTAAAGTTTCTCAAAAGTCATTTATAAAATAAATTGTTAATTGACACAAAATAAATTTTCAATTAAATANTTGATATTGTTTCTATATTATATTGAATAAAGACAAAAGTTTAGTCAAAAGTTCAGGCTAGAAAGGGAAAATATATTAAAGCAAGAAGGAAGCACCAGGGATGATCTGATTAGATAAAGGGAGGAGATAGAAATAGAGCGTGTATCAGCAACCAACAGCTTACAATGAGGCAGGGGAAAACAACGCAGTTCCCATGCAAGGAAAGAGAAAAATTTCCTGACAGGACAAGAAGCAATCCGACAATTGGAAATAGCAATTATTATTATTTATTTACGCATTACACATTTTCGAGTGTAATATATCACAACAAAAATACGTATAAAATTCAAGTTATGCAGATTTAAGGGAAAATAATTTAATTGCTGCAATTGCTAAATTAGTTGCATCTTTAAGAAACTGCCAATTGTTTATCACCTAAGTTTTTAATTTGTTGAATCAGCACTGAGCGACTGAGAATAAGAAGAAAGTCAAACAAAAATAAATACTGTATGTCTTCCAGTGATAGAGAAAACAGAAGTCAGCATTCTTTTATACTTCATTTTGTAGGCAGTAAATTGATTTATTCCGTTAAAAATAGTAAGATATTTCTAAGCATTTTTGAATAAACATTTGAATAAAATTCTGACAAGCTGGATATAGCCAGTCTAATTTACATAATTTTTATAAAACCCCATTCTATATGGTCAGAAATTGAGCTGATTTTATCTTTTATTTTTGTATTAACATTTTATATATTTTAATATAATAAAACATTAAAAAGATTGCAACAAAACAACATCCTGAAAAACTGCTGAATAACTCTACTTTTCATAATTGAAGTTTTCGACTATTTACAAAAATATCAAAATGTTCGAGTCTATCTTAATCCCTTTTTATACAACACCAGAAGTAACAGTTTAACATGGTTTTTTTTACGAATAACTTCTTAAATGGATAAGGACAGTATGGTGAGAAGAATTCTTCGTGTTTTTAATGTGAAGTGTCAGAACCTACAACAGAAGGCTGACACTTGATCGTTTTTAACATTGTGACCTCTCTTTTTACTTGTTTACCTTTGTTTAAGAAGTTATTCTTCAACAAAAAAACCATGTTAAACTGTTACTTCTGGTGTTGTATAAAAAGGGATTAAGATAGACTCGAAAATTTTGATATTTTTGTAAATAGTCGAAAACTTCAATTATGAAGAATTATATCCTGAGTTATTACAGAAATTGTATTAACTCTACTTTTGTTGATAATGAGGATGTTTAGTTTCCTTTCTTCACTCCTTATCTTGATTTTAACCAAACATATGGAAGGGTGACACAACTGATCATCCCGTCAGATGATAAATTTCTTCGAATAATGATTAGGAAAAAATTTTAAATAAAAAGGCAAGTTTACACACACTCGGGGCAGTCTACGACAGAAGTAGTTGTCATACAGAGGCAGTTCTTGCCACATAGGGAGTTCCTCGACCAGTTGTCAAGTGTTACTCCATATGCTACACCTCCTGCTCCCAGAGTCCAACTCCTATCTCCTCTGGACCGGCTATCATCGGCATCTCCCAATGAAAGAAAAATGTCCAACGAGATAATATAAATTCATTGTAAACTCTCTCTCTCTCGAGACATAGGAAATTTAGGCCTAGAATATATTCATCTTTGTATGTTTCTTTATTTTGTTTTATTAAATAATTGTTAAGTTTATTTTTGGACTTCTTTATTGTTGTCTACACCGATTTGCACAACCCCACAAAGAATTTTACCGCTCGAATTCTGTTAGATTAAGCCATCCAGTGACAAAGTGAGCGGATCCTTCAGATCTGACGATTAAAGGGCATAATCCCCTCGTCCGTATTTTCACAAAATTATATAAATTTTTCAACATCATTTTTATTTCAAATTTGTTTGATGACTAATTATTTTTGACAAAAATATAATTATATTGAATATAATTATTGTTTTTATGATCGTTTACTGTTTTAGAATAATGTAATACAGTCGAACATCTATTGATAATAACGACCACCTCTAAACAGTGGCCATTTTTTTAGGAGCTGTTTTAAACAAAAATGTATACAAAATAATCTCTAAACAGCGACCATTTTTATTTTCCCGTCATTGAACGTTATTTACAGGTTTGACTAATTCCATTTCATATTAAGTTTTCTCGGTTAAAGTTTTTAAAATAATTATTATTTTATTAATATACCTTGAATAGATTACCCTATCTGATCCCAAACATACAAATTAATTTAGGCTACATTAAAAAATGAATATCGTAAGATCAGATATACAGTACTATGGAAATATTATCTTGGTTATAAAATACACACTTCTGTTGAAATTATAATATGGTGGTTATATCCAGTAAATTTTATTTAATTTTAGTTGCAAAATTATTGTAATGATAGAAAAAATCACCGAGTAACAAACTGGTCTCGTACTAGAGATGAAATTTTGAGAGCTCCATACTATAGCTTTTTATTCCGGGAGTAATTTTCCTCCAGTATTTGAAAGTAATAGAATAAAATAATAATATTCTAGCATTAAAAAGGACCGAGACCCGTAGAATTAATTTACTAACATGTTTCAAATAGTTCGATCAGGACATAGGTCCTTCAGCGTCTTTTCCAGATAAGTAATTAAAACAAACAAATTCCTGGATATCAGCTATTTTTTAATGAACTTTACGACAAATTTAAACAGATAATTTTATAATTATGAGAGAGAAAGAAGAGAATTATCGAACTCCAGTCTAATAAAGTAACCCGGAACGGAATGATCTAATTTAAATAAATAAGAAATAAAGATTAAATGAATCCTCTCGATTACTTATAAAAAATTTAATCTCCATATTGGAAAGGCGTACAAAATTAAATTTAAATGTAAACTTTTAAATAGCTTCAAGAATATATTACATCTATTTAACTTTAGTCCAGAAAAATTAGTTAAACTATTAATTAGATTTTCTAATGATCGACTCAAAATAAGAATAAAGAGGTACTGTACTTATATTTATTTGCAAGTTCGACTTTTTGATTAACTATGAACCATTTATCTTTTCTTACGTAACAGAAAAATTTTCCTAAACATAACAATTTTAGATTTATCAATAGCAACCTTCTTTTCAAACAATATTTGTGGAACAAATTGATTTTTCGTTGTAAATTGATATTATTTGTTGATAGATTAACTATATCATCTGCTTAAGCCGAATAGCTGCTATTATAATGATCTATTTGAATGCTATCATTGAGAAATATGTTTTTAAATTAGAAATGTAAAAAATAAAAAAAGGTGTGGACTCAAATGACTGCTCTGTGGCAACAGCCTAATAAAGATTTACATCCTGACGGATAGCTATTTTAAGTTGAAATAACTGTAATAAACGTCCTAATTTGCGGTATAACTTTTATCAACATAAGAATTAATCCACTAACTGGGACTGAATCAAAAACTTTAATCAGAAAAAATCAATAAATGCTTGATTCGTTTTCTAAAACATTAATTGAATTAGGTGTATTGTATCCATTGTTCCTCTTCTTCTGCTAGACTATACAGTAAAAGCGAATTGTTGAAAACAATAAGATTTTTCTTATCCAACTAACACAATAACATATTTTTTTTTAACACTTAAGCAAACATTTTCTGAGAAGTAGGGAGCAAAGTTAATTGGACGCTAATTAGAAGAATTATTACTTATAGGAGAACTTATCTGTTTTTATAAATCATACTATAAATTATTGTGTTACAAGATTCGGAAAGTTATCTCGGTTAAAAATATTGCATTAAAATAATTTAAAAAATTTAAGTTTAAAGGGCTGAAGTAAATTTTAAAATTCTGAGAGGTATCTCGTCTAAAACCGGAGCAAATTTCAATTTTGATAGTGCTAGTTCCAATTCATCTACAGCAGAAGACGCATCCAACAACTCATCTCTAGCACAGAATACATTAACATGTTTGTTCATGGAGGAAAGCCTGTTGGATATTTAAAATAATTCAACCATTTATCAGATACACTGTACACGTTCATTTGATCTAGAGCTAGAAAGGTTAAGTTCACGACAATCTGCGCCAAAATAGAGCTTACTCTGATTTATTTCATTTTCAGAAATGTCTTCATCTTACAAGGAGAAGCCTCCCGACAAATAATTTTATTCAAATCTTTTATAAATGCCAACGTTGTTATTTATCCGTGAAAAAATAAGGAAGAAAATTTAACGAAAAGATCGATCCGTTTATTTGATTACTAAGAAATTTTTATGATGTACACTATCTTACTATCCTCAATATAAGCGAAGAAACGATTTTTTTGTAACCTCTTTAACGGCGTTTTAATTTACCAAATTGTAAAAGAAAGATATGGTAATTGGAAAATGATCCGAAAATATGTCTAAACTAAATGTGAAATTAAGCACAGAAATCCAATTTGGAAGGCATGCGAACACCAGATCTATAACTAAGTTTCCTTGATTTGAAACTTATAAGTAAACTTTTCAGGATGATCAATATTAAGGCTTCCGTTCAAAACATAAAAATCATTATCATTAGTGAAAGACATTAACTTTATACTTCTGATAATTATCCTGGTGTTCTGAGAAGTTCTCTCGTTAATAACTTTATAATTCCTGTCGTGATATTCTTTATATATTAAGTTACTGATTTACCCAATTAAACTATATTGTTAAAAGTTTTATTTAATGACTCCAGTTTATTTATAAACTGAAAATAATTGAGCATCTAGTGACGAAGAAAGTGGAAAATATGATAAGACCAGTACAAGCTCGTGGGAAACAGAATATGTCTTACTGGATATCAGAACCAGAAGCGCAATTAGGGAAACAGGCATGTGTCCCAGGTGTCAGTAAGAGGATTCTATAAGAAAGGATGTATAAGAAGGAAAGGTGGCAGGACTGACTCATCACATGTTGCTAACGTCTCATACCTCCGGAACAAGAGAGGGGACACGGATATTTTAGTTTGTTTTGGGTAACAGAGAGCCTAATCGAAAATACAATAGTAATTAGACAACATTAATTTAATGTATTAATCAAATATGGCTTCTCGCCATCAAAAAAAACATAAATTATACATTGATGAAATCTGAATCTTACAGTTATCACCCAAAGTAAAGTATTACAATAAATTAACTTAAACTATATATCGAAAAGGTTATAACAAATACGTCTTTTCGCCGTCTAGTACAAAATAATTAGAAACAAATGTTAAAAGTTTATTTATCGTCTGTATTCTGACAGGCAAGGACTGTATTTGTTCAAAATATTGATTTGATTTATGTTCTTCTGTTTTTTCGGTTAAAATTGTTTTCAAACTACGTGTAATCAAACTGTCTTCAATTGTACATACTGTAAATATTGCAATTATTGTCTGTATCTGATGGCCAGGAGCCATATCTGTATGTTTCATTTGATTCTTAATAAAACAGGCTGGGCACCCATGAAACTTTCCCTTTTCATCCCCTTTCCTATCTCGCTTTACTCTTTCTCCTTCGCCTCTTCCCTTAACTACCTTTCCTCTACTCTTCTTCACACTCGGGCAATACCAATGAGTAGTCCCGAGTTTTCATCCCCTTTATGAAAAATGAAAAAATGAAAACAGAGAGCCTAATTGCTCCCCTATTAGAACTATAGGCTAATTTAATACCTAACAATACAAGTAAAAAAGGGTACGATTATTCTAACGAATTATTAATCGACAAGATTAAATTACCGCTTAGATCGTCAAATTTAGATAATATCTCTCTGGGGCTTCAAAGACTCAGTAATCTTTCTAATCTTTTAAATTTAAATCACTTAAGCTCGTTCTTCACATCGCAACTAAATCAATAACTTAAATATGTTTTTCCTACACAGAATCTCCTCTAATCTACATTGAATATTGACTACATATGTAAGTAGAAACCCTTCTTAGCATTACTATTAATATCTGAAAACTATATAAATTCAATTCTGATTTATTTTGTCTGATTCTAAAGCGGTAACTTAAATCTGCGATTCTATTAACAGAATATTTAGCGCTCAAAAGATCTTTTTCGAAGAATTTTAAAATCATATTCCCAATCGCTTTAGAAGTCGATTTCAAATTAATTATACTTTTTATTTCTACTAGATAACAATTTAATTCCCCTTAGAGAATCAAGATGAAGCAATAATTCTCAAGTAAGAAATAATGTTCTAAGTTTCGAACGGAAAATTTACAAAAGCCACATTTCTTGAAAATTAGTAATTATTAATTTTATCGCACTCAGCAGTAACCGAATGGATAAAACCACTGAACACTGTTAGTTGGTCGCACTGTTGTGGAGGTTGCATGGAGTTTTCTATTTTTCTCGTATCTAACAACTAAATAAGGACAAATTTCCCATCGACAGTCTCCCGGGAGGCATTCCTCCTTGGCAGATTATCTTCCATTGACTTATTTCATCAATCCTATTAATTTTATCAACTTCAAAATCTAGTTAACTTTTATAATTTTCCGGAATCTGCTTTACCGATTCAGCTTCTCTTTTCTGATCAGTTATAACAAATCGCATAAAAATTAATCGTTCTTATAGCTTTTAAAAAATATCAACAATTAAATTACACAGAGATTTCAATGAATAATTAACTGCGCCGAATCTATTACAGTATATTTTTTTTTTAAAGAAAAAAGATTATATAAATTACAAGTTTTAGACTTACTTTTTCCAGACTCTAATACCAGAGAACAATATCTGAGAGCAATTAGGAGATTCACTCTGGAACAATTCCAAATCCACTTGATCAAAATAGTTTTCTTGCAAAACTATTGATTGCGTACAGTACACTCATCATTCGTCGATGGTCTGCCTCATACACCCTTATACATATTCTCAACTTAAATATCTTGAAAAGACAAAGGGGATCTCAAAACAGGACCAGAATTAAATTTAACACCAGAAGAAACAAATAAAATTTGGGTTATCTCCATTAAATATATCTTACTAACATAAAGTTTCATTCTAGAAAGTGCAAAGTTCTTCTGAAAAGTGCAAAAAATACATCTCAAATTTCTGATAAAATTTAAACCGACTTAGAAAAGAAATATTTAACGAATTCACGTTATATTTTTGCTAATAGTATATTTTTATTATTAAATTATTACTAAAGAAATCATTATTTTATGTTGAAAATATTGAAATATATTTTTTAAAATACCATTTAATTGCCAATTTTTTTACAAAATACTTTTGTTCATACAAAAAAAAAAAAACAACAAAATACCGTGTTTTTGATCCACTCTGAAACAATTCCTTTTTCTTATTTCTCTTTTTCATATATTTTTTATTTACTTTTTATTTTTAAAAATTTTTATTTTTATTTTTTATTACATACATAACATTGTAAAATTTTGTATTTAACATTAAATAAACGAAGTTGAGAGATTTGATGTTTAAAATTACTTTGAGAAATTTATATACTGAAATTATAGCGATTTATTAATTAAATAATTTAATTTTAAATATACTAAAATAAAAATATATTACGAGCTTCATCATTTGGAAGTGCGTAAATCACATTTTGTAATGTTTCGGAATTTTAAAAATAGTTTTATTGTATAAATGAGTTTGTATATTAAAATTTTATGAAAGTAATAAATGCCAATTTCAATGATAAAAACTTTCATTTAGAGGATTGGGATAAAGCAACGAACACAATGGATGCCTCAGGGAGAACTTCGTATGGGATATTAACCACTATTCAGATGTTACATAGTTAAAAAAAATCCAGAAGAATCCACGTAGCAGCCCGTTGGTAGAGAGCTGTTGTTGTTTGGATACGGCAACGCGACACGCGGACAATTTGTGAGGGGAGATGCCTTCCGAGAGGACTTTCTATGGGATACTGGCTTCTATTTAGGTGTGAAGAAAACCCGAAAAATTCTACGTGGTTAGTCTGTTGATAAGGCAGGAAACCGCTACAAACTACTAGTATTGTAGTAGTTTTATCCACTCTGCCACTGGTACCCAGTGAATAATCGTAATGAATGCAAAATATGTAAATAATTGCAAAACGCTTATGCTACTTTTGCATAAGTTTTACAGAAGAATAGCATAAAACTTAATATTTTACCCAATTTTTTTATTCGTGTATTTTTACCAGATTTAAAATCTTCAAATCTTTTTAAAAAGAAAATTATAAAGATAGTTTTATCAATTTTATAATATAAGTTTTAAAAAGTGTATTCCAGAATTTTATATTAAATATTTTACAAGATTTAATGCAATTTTAAGTAGTATTTTCACGAATAAAACAGTCTTGTCATTTATTTTGAATTACAAATTGTTCTTTATATATTGCTATTTAATAAAATTCTGAAATTTATCTCTAATATTTGTAAAAAAAAATTCTAGAAAAAACATTTTAGCAATTCTATACGTCTGAAAGAGAGAACTACTTACAGAAAAGATCGATACCTTTAATATACAGTATAGACTAGTTCAATGTTTCTGCATTGTGTAAAAAATGTTTCTAGAAGATATCATCATCTCAAATTTTATTTTAAAAAAGTAAAGGATTATATTTTATGATTCTTATATTACATTAATTTAATAAAACAAGAAAAGCATTTTATTAAAAATTTAAACCAATATAATAAAATCCTTCTTTAGCTCTCAACAGATGGCGACATTTGTCTTAATTACATACGTTGGAGAAGATTCTAACGATGTTTTGAGAAGACGTAAATTGTATTCATTGTATTTATATGAAATACTTTTTTGTGTATTTAGAATAATATAAATATATATAAAAAGTAAATTATGCATTTTTATGCATATTTTTCTGTTTATTCGCGAATATAATCCATTTTTAAACCACATTTATTCCAAATTGTATTTTTAAAAAAGTTCTTAGTTTTTATATATTGTTGTAAAAATTCGCAGTAAATTTTATTATTGAAAATTACTACAAATTTTTAATTATATTATACGAGAAAAATTCTAAGGAATTGTAAACTTTTTAGTATATTTATAATGATGAAACGGAATAATTTGAATATTTTTCTACTTTATTTCGAAAAGAAATTTTATCATGAATGAAAATTATATTGCCTCAATACATTTTTATTTCTCCTTATTTATGAATATGTTTGAGAATTTTTTCAACGTCTTATAATGTAAGGTGAGACACTTTTACATATAAAACTAAATTTAAAAAAAACGATTATATTTTATTTACTAAGAAAATTTTCTAAAATCGAATAAAAAATAATTATATAAAAATTTCTCACTTAATTATGGGGATATAAAATTAGGTAATTAGAGATTAGAATAATGAGCTAAAATTTTTTAATAATTAAAAATTACAAGCAAATTAATTTTTAATTATGTTTGTAATTCATTACAGACGATAATTTGTGATTTTTATAAATGATACGATTAATTCAATTTAAGAAGAAGAGGAAGAAGAAGAAAAGAGTCAAGAAAATTATACTAATGTGGAAAAATTGATAAAAATTATAATTAACATTTATATTCCGAGTTAGGAATTTCGTTAAAATGTCAAACAAAATTAAATTCTCAAATTTTCTTAAAATAAACATTTATTATTTAATAAAATGTAATTATAAAATTAAAAAAAAACCACTGAGAAAATAATTATGGATGATATTTAAATTAACAATAAATAAATTTTATAGATTTCTTGTATAAGTCTTAATATGTTTTAAAATAGAATTTATGTTAAATCAATAAGGAGAAAATGAAATAAGAAAAAAATTTTATTAATTATTTGATACGAAGATTATAATATATTAGAAGTTAAATATAAATAATTTTTTTGTTATTATTCTGTACTTAATATAGATTAAATCGAGTTATTCATTAATCTTCACAAATAAAAAATGTATACTTTTCTTCCATATATATAATGCTTACATTCAAATTCAAGGTCAACCAATCACGAACGATCACGTGGAAATCCAGAAAGGCTATTGGACTATCGACTATATAAAGCTAAGTACGCTGGGCGTTATCAAACAGTGTTTGGCTGGCATCAGAAATGCTTTCATCTGCTCAGGTTAACGGGAAATGGGATGAATATCTTAACATACGAATCCATATACGCGTTACTTTTCTTTTGTGTTGTGGGAAATTGTGTGGTGACTAAATGGACGCAATCCAGACATAATCTAAATATATCATGGCCTATTAAGAGAGTTGCGGAGATAGAAGGTGACATAGTGTTAGGGGGATTGATGATGGTGCACGAGAGAGAAGATTTATTAACGTGTGGCCCCATTATGCCCCAAGGAGGAATTCAGGCGTTGGAGTGCATGCTTTACACCATCGATTGGGTGAATAGTCAGAAAGATTTCCTACCTAATATCACTCTGGGAGCTTACGTGCTTGACGACTGTGATAAAGATACTTATGGACTAGAACAGGCTGTCGATTTTATTAAAGGTAAGTTCACATGATTCATTTTTAAAGTACAGTTATGAAATCAAGCGTATCACGATAATTTATTGTGCTCGACTGTAACGAAGATAATTATAGTTACTAATTTTATCAAAATAATTTATAGAATCAAGAATGTTTATTTAAAAATAAATATTATAAAACGTATATTTTTAAGAAACAAACAAGAAAAATAAATAAGATTTGAAAAATATTAAAAATTAAATTTAAAACTATTTTTTTAGTAAATAAAGCTATAGCTTATATATACAGTATATATATTTCAAGATTTTATTTTATATATAAAGAAAAATAAACGAGATATCGAATATTCAAAGATGATGAAAAATTATCTCTATGTTGCAATTTATCAAATAAATTTACATGTATATATTATAAATTTATAAATATACTTTAATTATTTAAATAAATAATTAAGGTTATAAAATATAATTGTAAATTAAATTAAACAATTAAAGGTGTTTTTATAAAGTTTACTTAATTTTATTATTTACTTTTTCGTAAATAAAATATATCTTTTCTTTGTTTTTAATAAACTTAGATTAATTAAATTACTGAAGACAACTCGATATTGATTTTAATTAAATTGGAATACTTGTTTTAAATTTTTTATTTTTATATGCATGAAATTATTTTAAGGCATTATACAGCGGCGGATTAAAACTTTCTGGTCCCCTAGACACAGATGATTGGGGCCTCCGCTACATAATTTTACGACATCGTAAACTAATAACATTTAATTGTAGTTATAGAATAATTTATAAATTATGATATACAGTTGTAGTGGCAAAATTTTTTATTTTTTTAAATTTTGGGGCCCCCTAGGAATGTGCCTCACCTACTGTACTTGAGTCTTATATTTTTTAACTCCATACTTCAGTAGAGATTATTTTCAACATTTACTATTTTCACTATACTGTACTTCATAGATATTTTTCACGCTAGATATATTCAACGTTATAATGGATGTTATACTTTTTGTAAGATCTTAAATCTTGATTTAAAAATTTTTTTTATAGTCATGAATAACAAAATTTCAGAAAATATCATAAATATAATATAATACGACTTTTATAATTCGTTTTCTTAAATTTATATTTAATTTATTCCGAAATAAAATTATAATTTTAATTAAATGGAATTTAAACAATTCATTTACGTTTTTGTATTAGACTTAGATTTGTTAGGGCCCTCAATTATAACATATATCAAGTCCTTTTCCCTCCATAAAATGATAATATATGTAAAAATATGAAGCCCTAAATTATAAATTTATAACGCGAGGCCCTAAGCTGCAACTTATTTAGCTAATTTAAATAATGTCCCAGAAAATTTTATTCTTTCAAAAATATGTTAAACTTTAAATAAATTTAACTGTTTTAATAATGAAATTTAAACATACCAAAATTGAATTAATAATAATAATAATTTTACTGATTTAAATAAAATTTTCAGTTCTAAAAATGCCTTTACAATTTTTATCGAAATTATATTTTAAAGAAAATTTTCGGGTAAGCTGAGCTTGAATTTAATGGAGTCAGAAAGGAAATTCCTTTAAAGAAGCAGAAAATTTTTTTTTCAGTTATTGAAAAAAAACAAATGTGGGTCGACATTGGATCGTTTCTTATTGGAATAAAACTGTAAAAACATCAAATTAATTCGTTTTATTGTCGTTATTTTTAACAGAAAATCGGAAAAAGAAGAATTAAAGGATCAATTTTAATTAAAAGTTGCAGACACATACGCACACACACACACACATATACACACAAAAAAAGACGCAAGCAAAATGTCAATTTTAAATAGATTTACTTAAATTCTATTGTAAATAGTTAAATATTAAAGTCGATCGTATGTAAATGTCATCGCATCGAATTCGAAATAATCGGAGGAAAGTACAATTACAAAAGCTGTGCACAGTTGTAGAGATTTTACAGTTCGTTATGTGTTAAATAGTTTTTGTCTTAAGAGAATGTGTCGAACCAAAAAGCCAAGTTAAAGAAAGATTCATTTATTTTATGCATCTTTCCGAACAAAAAAAAGGTGCAAAATAGTGCAAAAAAAATTCAAGTATGAAAATCAAGTTATGGGTAATATCGTTAATTATTTAATGAATTATTAACCGAGATCTGACGAATAAATATAATTATTTTATAATATAATGTTATATAATTTTAAGAGCGTTATTTAAATGATAACATGGTGTTAAAAATCTGTAGTTTTATATAAAATAAAAATAATTATTTATAATTAATTAATAAAGATAAAAGAACCGGAATAGGGTATATAATATTTTGCTCTTAATTAAATATTTATTACAAGTGATGAATTTATTGTTTAAACAGCAACAGATGTTTAAACAATAATTGTTATAAGTTAAAGAGTCAAGTTAAAATTTATCATAAAATCAATCATTTTTTTCCAGCAGGCATGTATATACTAGGCAGTATAGCATGACAGAAGTAGGAATAACAAACGCATTTCGTACACGTAAATAAATTCAATATTTATGCTAATGCTTCCTCACTCGTTTAAGAAATAAGTATATATTGATAATAAACTTTAACATTAGTAGAGAAATATAAAAATATTGTATATTTTTTATTTAATACACAGCGTATATGTGTAGAGATATGGATATATGTATATCTTCTGTCGATATCCACATAATTGGTATGATTAGAATACAGACTTAGAGATCAATCAGACTAATTATGGAAATATGATTTATATTACACAATGATAGTAGTTTAAGTAATAATAAAATTAGTAAATTCTCATACGGAACAGGAAATTTTATAAGAGATACATTAATCAGTTTGTTTCCAATTCAAAGCGAGTAAATACATCATTTGCTATTTACATTTTGATTTTGTTATTGTTATAAAGATCATAAATTATAGTTTTGTAATAGTTCCTGTGACAATTTCTTATGTAAGTTATAAAGAATTAAAATTCTAATTACTTTTTCTATACGATACTTCATTAGAAATATAAAAATATTTTGTTATTTACTTATATTTTTATTATATTTTTTTAACATGTTTACTAATAAACTAATTATCATTTAGCATTAATCTCAATTGCTGGGTAGAAATGTGATTGGAATATAAATAGAAGTGTTAACTTGAAGAAAGTTAAAGTTTTCTGTTAGTTTTTTCTGAATTTTGGCTTTTTATAACAGAATTTTGATAACAGTAAACATTTATTTTCGTACAGCAAACAAATCTGATAAGAGAATTTTATTAATATTTTGAATGATTAGTTTTTATTTTCTTGAATTTTTAAACCGTTGCAAATTAATTGATTTTATTAATTAACAACGTTTATCTCGAACATATGCCAAACTTCGTAATGTTATAGTTCACATAATTGTTAATTTTGAGAGATTACATGTAACCTCTCTTGTTCTCTTCAGCTACTTGAATTTTATTTTCAGCTGGAGTGTATAATAAATTACTTCTGTCTGCTTATTAAAACTATACGTTAATTATTAAAGAAAACTTAATTAGTTTAACCACTTCCTTTATATAATACTTTTTACAGGTATAAATTCGTTTAGAATTACTTAAGAATAAATTATAGCGTAAGTGAATAATTAATATTATTTATTATGGTGTGGTTAATTTAAGTCATATAAAAATAAATGACCATTTACCTTAACAATATCAAAATTTTATCAAATTTTATTAAACGAATAAGATAAAAGTCTTGAAGATTTTGATGAGGGTGGACTGGCAATTTTATTGAATAATGCTGATGAGATTGAGATAACAGTGGTAGTATGAGCATTATAATTCTGTTATCAGTTATCACTGAGGTAATTACAGCTTCTACATGTTATTGAGACATCAACGACATTTTCAATGACAAAATTAAACTCAGATGAATAGAATTAAGCAATTTTGTTTCTAAAAATGAATTTCAGAAGTTTTCTGAACAATGCAGCGCAGTTTATAATCCGTATTCGTTTCATAGAAGATGATTTACATATCGATTACTACTCGAAAAAAATACTTTAGTATGAAATACTTATATAAATTTATACCGGGAATTTTTATAAGAACATGAAAAACATTGTAAGATTTTATAGCTAAGATGTATTGCAATTTTTCTGCTTTATAAAGTAGAAATCACTTCATTTGATGGAGTATTATTTTAAGCCTGAAATGTTTTCTGTTTTCGGATTACAGAAATTTCGTCTCCATGGCATCAAAATATATATTTTTTCTCTTAAAAAAGAAAACTTCCTTTATATTGAATAAACTATAAAATATGAAAAAATATTAGAAATAAAAATTGATCTAAATGTTGAAATAAAGAAAATTTATGTAATATTTAAGTATTATCTACAGAAAAGATCGAAAAGGTAATAACTAAAAAAATAAAAAAAATAAATAAAAAACTGATAATTAGATGACTTTTTCTTCTTATTTCAGATATGAACTTTTGTGTTTGTTCTTATCTAATGCTCTTTCAATGTAATAATATTTGATTAAAAGAAATAAATTATGAATTTTTAATTACATTGTTTTATAATTCGAAAACGTTCTAACCTTTCATAATTTTTCTCATTGAGTAATTTGATTTTTCTTTCTTTCGTTTTCGATGAAAAGACATGTTGAAAGAACTGTACATTAAGTTATAAGTCACGTAATTTCTACTTTTTCAGAGTTAAAAGTAGTTATCCTAACTGTATCAGAAGAAAAATTGTTATCTTAAGCTAATTTTTAAATTGTTTTAAAACATTTTTTTCTTATGCTTTTTAAATAAAAATTTAAGTTTTCGCAATTTATCGTAAGCAGAGTGAATAAACAAACACTACTGTAATTTTAATTAATTTTCATTTAAATATAATTTTAAAACTAAAATGTACTGTATATTATTCAATACTAGTAATTAAATTTCAGATCTAATATTAGGATGTTATTGTCTATTATCTATAGATTATGTTAAAGAAGTGAGTTGAAAAGTTAGAATTTGATTTCTTCCCCGATTCTACATATAAATCATGTGGTATATCAGAGATCAACGACAATTGTTGTTAGAGATTCGACATGCTTCTTGTCTTATCTCACGTGATGTATTGGGATAACGTGATCCGTATACCCTTCCACACAAAATGATAGACATATTTCTTTAGCAATAACAGACTAACTGATTTCACTTTCTTTTTAGTAAATATTATGGAAAGTAAACCATTATATTGTAATTAAATTAGTAGATAGAAAAGGGGACTTTTAAGATCTATCGTAAATATCAAATTAAAGTTAATTTCTTCAGTCGAATTCTAATATATCGTAACTCCAAGATGGACGGCTACAGTCTTTTAAATTTGAAATAAATGATATTGTTTTTGTTAAATCTGAAAAATTTATTTTTATTCTTAACATATGTTGGGATTATTGAAGTTTATTAAGCACGCATTTGTAAGTAAAAAAAGAATACATGCATGTCAACAAAAAGCATTAATAGAAAATTATCGCATTGCCCATCTAATCCAAACAGCACGGTGTAATGACCACAGTGTCATCACACCTGTGAGAAACATATTTATGAACACGTCGCGGTTTGAGCGTGATTCTGTGACACATCCAAAAGGACAAATGACTTATGTAAGACTATTTTCAGATTCAGTTTTAAAATTGTGTAAACACCATTTATTTACACTAAATAACTATGGTCATCTATCAGGGAGTTACAAAACAAACAAAACATTTATTTTACTCTTATCAGGAAGGTTTCTCGGAACAGGTCGCAATATACACCTTCCACTACACTTGTACCACTCTCACTGACTAGTGTACTGTATCTCGAACTTCTGGTATGTATTTTCGGAATCAGTGATTGGTAATCTTACTCAAATGACCATCCATCCCGGGATTACGCTATACATTAGTCTAATTTTTATCATATGATTTTATCTAAATTTATTCGATTATGTTAATATGATAAAAATGATTTTAATTAAAGAATTTGTAGATGATACACTATGAGTATCAGCAGTAAAACTTAAAATTTCATATATAACTTTTAATAATATATTAAAATAGGCAAATTTTCTCTTCTAATAATATTATATTTTCGATAATTGTTATATATAGAAAATCTATAATTATAATGATGCATTGAAAGAATAACACCAGAAACAATGACATAGTTTAGAATTTATCACAATACAGCGGGTGATCGGTTAACAGACATAATCCTTTCCAAGACTTTGTTCGTTATCCGAATTGTTCGTTAACTGATTATCGATTTACCATAGATTACAGTATTATGAGAATTTGATTAATTCGTTCCGGAGACTCCAAAAAATAAAAAAATAAATGCTTTTTTACTATATTTATTTATTTATATATAATAGTAAAAATACATATATATGCAGTCTTGCATTTTTATTAGTCATGTTTTTCAGTTTGTGGGGGTTAAAGAATCTGTCCAATGTCGAATGCTTTTCTCTTTTCTTCGGGATTTTTCGGAAGTAATTGATAGTATTGTAATTGTAGAGATCCCAAAGACTATTAACCTCAACCTGGTTTGGATGCCATTCTAAGACCGTTGTTC